ATACCTGACCGTTGACAACATAACGGGTTCACCATTCGCTCACATCGTTGCGCCAGAAACGCATGCACTCTGGCCAAGAACACCTCGCGGTTTCAGATAATGCACTCGAGCAGAGAGCCAGCGTGCCCTAAGCTCGTTAGAGTTACACGGCCGGCGCTAAAGGCACCGGGAGAGGAGGATGCGGACTTGTCAACACTCAACGGACCGAATTCGCTAACGTGCTGAACCTAGTCGGACGCCTGGAGCACAAGCCACAATCTAATCATGGCTGGCCGCATTCGCAAGCCTCTATTTTACAGGAACTCGCGGAATATCGCGGCACCTGCGTCTACCCTGCCCGCCTGTTTTATTTCCGCTTCTTCGGTGCCGCGATGTTCGTTTAACCGCCCGCTCGATAATCGTCTCGCAGCTTGAATTTTAGCCGGCATCTCTCTCGCTCGTCCGCTCATAGTCGGGGAGGTCTGCGATACCAGTGTCCTCCCTTCTCTCTCTTCATCTTAAGATCTGACTGGCTTTTATCATTTGTTTTGCGGGCATTGCCTGTTATTATATTATTAAGTGATGTTCAATCAATATGAAGTTGTGTGATATGAAATGTTCCAAGTTGTATTGCTTCATTGCCAATTCGGATTTTGGTCTGCGGGCAAGTGTAAGAATCGAGAGATGTCAACCTCTTCGAGTATCGCGAAGGGGTTGTCGCTTAAATTGACTATTTGCACCTTGAGGCTAGTCAGCTGGGATATCTATTATCTCATGGGATTCATACACCTTTTGCACGAGCTGCAGTGTGCACGAAATACCTCATTAATGTGCACATATGAGATTCCTATGCCTTAAGGGAATTATGACGATAGCAGGATATATCATTTAATATCGGCGAATGTTAACCTCATCGCATGAACCATTAATCGCTGGGGCCTTGGATGATTCATGCAGCATGACTTGTATCATTAAAATATGGGACGCAGCGTCCGAGAGGCTGCACCGAAATTGTGCAAAATAACGTGTCTGGTCTTGAAAACGCGTCCAAGGAGGGCCCTTCCTCTTTATCGATTGCTACAAGTAAATTTGGACACCGTGAGACTGTTCAATATGCGACCTATCTTGAAAAAATCACTCGGCGAATCAATATAATACAAAAATTTGCGGGAGAACGCATTAATTACGAGGTATATCGGGTGATACACCTTTCGCCGAGATAATCAGATAATTACTTCGCATGTATCAGCTGTGTGCGGACGATCGCACGTGCACGAAAAATTCCCGCGTAACGTGCGGTTTACGCGCGCGCGGGGAGAACGGGGGTGACATTTTTTTTTTCGATCGACGCGAAATGAACTTTGTCGCACTTGTACCAGTTAAGCATGGAAATGATGCACCCTGGGCGCGCTCACGCACGTCGCTGCCGCGTTCATCTACAGATGGTCATCTGGTCGGGTCGCGGCTAGTATCTAGGCGGACGATCGGGTATCTATAGTTAGTAGATGAAGGCGGAGTCTACCCCGCCGTAGTAACATAGCATTAGGTAAGCTTTTCGTTTTATTGATTTTTCGAAAAAGCGCGTGCGCGCCCGGAGCTGCCCTCCGCACTATCGCCTACGAGCTGTACCGACGTCGTGAAAAGCACTCATCCCCACCATCCGTCGCGTCCTCTCGCACTCACCCCTTTCTCTCTTTCTCTTTCTCGCTCTCATTTCGTCTCCCCCTTCCCTACCCTTTTCCGACCACCCCGCGTCCTCGTCTCTCCTTCGTTACTCTTGTTCGCTCTCGCGCCACGAACCATCTCTCTCGCGCTCTCGCGCCCTTAGAGTGCTATCAGGTTGCGCAATGTTTAACTTGCACCCCGCTGCACCGTCCTCCCTTCCTCCCTCATCTCCTCCCTTCCCCGATTTTCCGTTGTGTTTTGAAAATCGCCAGAAAGAAGCGGAGAAAGTCTCGCTAATCCCGCGCGCCTTTTTTCGCGCCCTCGAGAAAGTTGGACATTCTCCTTACGCGCTTGCGTCATTCTACGTCGGAGCAGACTTTTCCGCGAGTCCTTACGGTTATCTTCAGTTCTTCTCGTTCGGTGACGAACGAGGAAGAGATATTTAGTACCGAGGCGTAAACTCTATACTTCATCACACGACGATAAAGTTCCAATGTGGTAAGATATTCGGGTATCTTCGCTTTAAGTATCATAGATCTCTTATTTTCTGAGACTTTCGCGTAGTCAGCCGGAAAATCACTCGATTAGTTTCTTTCTTTCTCGAGGCATGCGAGTCATGCACCCCGCTGGTTTTGCCAATCGAGTATTCACGAATGTCGACCACGCCGTTCTCGCGCGCCTTTAACGACAGGCTCCGTAAGAGTTTCGAGGCGGAGGGTGAACGCGGGTAATCTCGGCAAATTATTCGATGCTCGGAACCGAATAGGCAGGCGAGCGGGAAAATAATATACCTTACGCTACGTGTCGCCCCTTGCAATGCGACGAAAAAAAAATCATAGAATAGGATGAATTTCCGCACATATCTACAGCAACTAAGTTGCTGCCTTATTTCTTGTCGTGCTTTCTCGCGCTTTACGCGCGGACGTCGGGTGAGCCAGCATGCAATAGGAAACGCAGGAAGGCGACGCGCGCGAGAAGCCATCCGCGGGTTGAAGCAGCGAAAATGAAGGCTTAGCCGGCGGCAACAAACATTCATTATTACTCGTCGCGAGCCCCGTCCGTTCTCCTCCACTTCCGTCATCCCTCCCGGTCATTCTCTCCCTTCTTCCCGTCTTCGCTCCCTCTCTCTCTCTCTCTTCGTCATCGCGTATCGTCGTCGCCCGGCCGGCTTGTAGGTGCGCTGCCATTGGTCGATGCGGGGCCGCCGTGTTTTCCGAAATCATCGTGCCCTCTCGCGCGCTTACTCACACATCGTAGCAAGCGCACGAGAGCGCCCGTGTATGTGCAAGGATTACACGCGCACGCACACGCAGGAGTACGCGCGCGCGGCGAGCGCCCGATGAGAAGTATGCACACTCGTTTGCGCACACGCACACACCCTCATCCGCCGTAGTCCGCCGCCGCCGCCGCTGCCTCCGCCGCTGCCGTCGTCATCAATCATCGAATGCCACCGCCAGCGCCGACATTTTCCGCAGAAAGCGCACGGACTCACGCACGCACGCACGCACGCACGCATGTATGTATGCCAACACGCACGCACATCGCTCATTTCGTTCCGATACCGCGAACTACGGCCGAAAAGACCTTCCTCCACTTCGTCCCCCCCGCACCCTCCCCCGACCTTGCCGCCGGCAAGGTTGACTCCGAGCAAGGGCTAAGTTCGAGACGCGCACTCGGTGGACGACCACGATTCGCGACACATTTAGTCGCGCGGTTTCCGCGGGTAGCCGCGCCGCGCGGACGGGCCCTGGTTGCCGCGCCGCGTAAAAACGCGGAACTGAATCCGCGGACCAGCCACGGGCACAGAGGGGTACGCCGCGGCAACGTATGATTGGCAACAATCGGCACTCTGATCGAACGTTTGTTTCAGAACACATATGCGGCCGTCTCGCTCCCTCCGCCGAGTCGGCCGATGCGCGCTTTCTCTCTCGCGTCCTCCCGCGCTCACCCCCGCGCGCTCTCCGTCTCGCTCGCTCTCTCCCGTTCCCTCTCGATATCTGGTTCCGCCTCTCTTTCCCGCGCGCCTTCCTCTCTTTTTCACCCTCGTCCTGCTCGCTCCCTCGCGCGCGACCGCCCTGCATCGCGCTCTCTCGTGCTCTCACTCTATCCCCCTCTCACTCTTTCTTTCTCTCTCTCTTTCCGCCTCTCTTTCCCTCCCTCGGCGTTCCTCCCGCACTCATCGCCCGACCCTCCTCGCGTCTCTCCTCTCTCGTCCGTGTCGTCCGCCGCGTTCTCCGCTCGTCTCGTCCCGCCTCGCCTCGCGTCGTCGTTTCTCTTTCGGAACCTCTCTTTCCAGCGCGATACGTAACCACCCTCTCGCGACTAGCTCGGTCCTCGTCGAATCACCTCCCCCGTCAACCCTCGCGCGCTGCATGCATCTTCGCATTCTTCTCGCTCGCTCGCGCTCTCCACCCCCTTCTCGATGCTCCGTCGTCGTCTCTGTCTATCTCGTGGCTATCCTCTATTTTTCTCTCCCTTTCGCGTCCTCCCTCTCGTTCCCTCTCACCTTTTTCGCTCGCGGGCGTTTTCTTTCTCCGACCAACAGGCTCTCTCGCCCGTAGCTTATACATCGCTCTGTGTCTGGTATGCGGGACGTACATCATGCAAGGGTGCGTTTGTGTGTGCGAGCGCGCACCCCGGCCGTCCTTCTCGCGCCCATTCTGCGTGGGAGGACGCGTGTGTGCGGATCACTTCGATACGCGTAGCTGGAAAAAAAAAATGGGCGGATGTATCGTCGGCGCTTGTCACCGCTGCGTGTAAATACGCCGCGGCGGAGGGCGCGCGCACGCGCCACGCGTGCACTGGGTCAGTGGAGGAACTTCTCCCGCTTCTTTCTACTTTCTTTTTTGTATCGACTGGGCTTTTCGAATATATTCGCGCGTTATCCGTTTCGCCGCGGGATATAATGCGCGTCGGGCGTCGGATGGATGCGGTTCGTAAGCGGTGGCGGCATCGCGACACCCTGCCGCCATAAAGTTGCATTAGCGCGCTTTTGAGACCAACCTCGCACGCGAATCTAATCGACAAATAAAAAATTATGCAAAATATTTCCAATCTGTTGCGCCGCATCTCTACATCCCCTAACCACCTTCTCTCTCTCTCTCTCTCTCTCTCTCT